ATATATATATATATATATATATATATATATATATATATATATATATATATATATGCGCGAAGGATCGTGTGAGAAAGAGAGTTAAGGAGAGAAGCATGAGAAGGGATTTGGACCCTTGATCACCTTTACTCTCAAACTGGCCCATGAACCACGTTTGATATGGGGATTAATCCGGTGCATCCCGGTGCATCTCATCCTAATGTGCATCCAAGGGAAGAGATATCTTCTTATGCTTCTCACTTTAACTCTCTTTCTTACCGGACAACCCTATACTATATGGGGTCAAGTTCAGGGAAAACCGCAAAAGATTAAAAAAGTGAAGAACACCCCGATAACCGTTCATCTGGACGGTATGCACATGTGCATACAAGTAATTTATAAGAAATTTGTTTGGTATGCACATACGTGCACAAAAACCAAGAACGAACTTCAATTACTTGTATGCACATGTGTAAAATGTCTAGATGATTGAATGTGCATACAAGTAATCTGTTAGAAATTTGTCTGGTATGCACATGTGCATATCATGTACACGTGCATAAAAATCAAGAAACAACTTCACTTGTATGCACATGTGCATACCGTCCAGATAAATGGTTACTAGGATTTCTCAATATCATCTTTTTGGGGTTTTCCCCTGAACCCCGCCCTCTCTCTATACACACACAACAGTTGTTTTGTAGTTTACCGGAGGTTATGCTTGTCGGTTTTGTTATTTCGGATAAGTTTTTAAGCATTGTCTATGTTCGACTTGATTTCCCTATTTTTCTATTGTACTTCTAGTTTGTACTAGTGATGTGGGGGACCGGGCCTTGTTATGGGAAGCCCATTATCAGGCGAACAGAAAGTGACACGCTTAATCATGCATAACTTTTATTACGGGTCTCCATTTCAGGCCAACGATACATCGATTCAAAGCTTAGGAGCAAGGGCCTACGGGATTTTTGAGACCAAAAAACGTCCTTTAAACATGTTTCAGGATTCTTTCGTCTTTTTTAGGTATTTTTCATTATGTGTTTGGGCTTCTATGGTTGGCCTATCATCTCCTTTCAATCCCTTTTTTCGGGGGACTCTATTTATATGCTAAAGAAGTAACCTGGATGTGGTCAGTGGTATAGTAATAGAAAGTTCGTTTTCCATCCAAATTTTGAGTGCCTCCGAATTCAAGTTTGAGCCTAAAGCTTGCCTTTCGATTAAATCAAGAAGATTTAGAAGAGGTGATTCTTGGGTATTCGTTGAATCAGTAGGTTTAATCTTCGGTTCGGTTATCATATGATGCATCAACTGGTATTCTAGGTACCCTTGAAATGTTGTAGCCATAGATAGCAAGTAGCAACTGTTTTGCTTACCCGATCAGAGATGTTGTTTACCAAGACCCTCTTGCTTGACTTGGTAAGCTAAGGGAGGGCACTTAGGGGATGAAGTTTTCTGTATAGATTAATCTGTCTTGTATAAATTGGGAAGGTTTTTGTTTGAGAGTGTGTTTTCATAGATGAGATAAGAGTGTTTTTTTGATAGGGAGGGGTAGGTTTGGAAAAAACTTGGCTTTCTTCAATAATCTGCGTAGAGCTCCCCCTAAAGCTTAATGACTAAGCCACTTTCTATACCGTTAAGCAACTAACAAACAATCAGGCATAGGTGATGGAATAAGCTGTGAGTCCCATTAAGTTTATTAAGATGGCCCTTACTCAGAGTCGGTGCTGACCCAAACTGCACTCTTATCCTGCAAGCGTTTACCCAATGAATCATGCATTCACCATACTCTAATCGGCCTCTAGGAGCAATTAAGTTTCATTAAGGTAAGCCCACCATAACTGGTACTCTGGTAGTGATGGTGTATGTTTTTTAGCAGCTTAACGAGACTCGTAACTTTTTTTTGTTAGCTATACATGATTATTTGGTAGTGGTTTAATGATATAGAAAATGACTTACCCAGTAAGTTTCTAGGTAGGAGTTTTATGTATAGAACTCCGGTTTTTTTTCTTTCAAAATATGTCTTTTTTAATTAAAAACACGCTTCTTCCATCTATGAAAGACACTCAAACAAAAATCTTCTCGGTCTATATAGACAAATTAATCTACAGACGACTTTATTCATACAAGACCTAATAGAAGAACCAAACAAACAACCTTTAGTTGTATTCAAGAGTTCGGATTCATTTCGCTATAAACTTGAGGTAATTTTTTGAGTTTACTTTTCAGGGTGGGAGAACAATGGTCTTAAGGCCACTGATTTGACATTGCCACCGCAAACACGATGCTCGTTGCTGACGTTGGGTAAAAGTTTGTTTCGGCTAAGGATCGGAGTTTTTTCTTCTTGTTGAACCGGGCTCCGAATGACCGGATTTAATCGATCTGTGTGCATCTCTACTTGTAACAAAAACAAAAAATAGTATGCAAAACATTACTTTGAAGTAAGTTTCATTTAAAGGCTAGGTCTTTGAGCTCCATCCAATGGATTATCAGTTTGAGTCGCCTCAGGCTCAGGGTAATCGGGATTTTCCTGATTGTTATCTTTAAGATGATATGAAATTAGTCGAGGTGTGCATAAACTGATCAAGACATTCATGGTTAACAAAAAGAATTTTGTGATTCTTTTTATGAGATAAGAAATTGCATAGAAGTTGATTCTTATTTAGAAAATGACAAATTGCATGGAAAAAATAACATATTTTAACTTGATTCTTATTTTGGGTAACGTACTTTCAAAACTTTTATTTTGGTATCAAAGATGTAAAGTTTTAAACATTTAAGTACTTGGTTGAAACATTAACCGGTTACCATACTGATGCGACGAGTGATGAGATGAAATTGGGTTGAATAGCAACTAACACAGAATTAGATACCACATCACTTGCCACATTAGTATGCTAACCGGTTAATATGTCAACCGGTTACCCGGGTACTTAAATATTTAAAACTTTACATCTTAGGTACCAAAATGGAAGTTTTGAAAGTACGTTACCCAAAATAAAAATCAGGTTAAAATACGTTGCTTTTTCATGTAGTTTACCCTTAGACTTGAGATACTAAATACTTATTCATAACGATTTTCAACAAGTAAATATAACTTCATAAGATAAAATATCACCTTTTTTTTAATCATTTTTCTTTTTAAAATAATTTTTACTCTTAATTTCTACCGTTGTCACTTACTATCAAATCTCGTATTTATTTACCGAGTGTTACAATTCTGTTTCAGATAAAATTCAAACACATGATTTATCAGAATTTATATCCTCTCGAACCCAAAAAACGACTAGAGTTGTTGACCAATAGTCGAACAAAAAAAACCATATTAGAGAAATATATTTTATGGACCGGTTCAAATAAAAATACTATCGTGAGAAGATAAAAAGTAAGGAATTATTAAAAAAGATCAATTTGAAGATGAATATATAAATATAAAATGAAATTACAGAATATCCATACGGATTCACATATGAATCTTTAAATCAATTTTTCAGTGATTCACGTTTGCACATTTTCTTATTAGAACATCTCCAACAGGTACGCTAAATTCTCTTTTTCCAAATTTACAGATTTTTTTGTTTTATTTTTTTCCCTTTATTTAGAGCAGAAATTAACATAACTGTTGTAACAAGTTTTTCCCAGGTCTCCCAAGTTTTCTAAAATAACATAACTATTGGAGATGTTTTTACCTTCTCTATGTATTCAATCTTTTTTATTTAAATTTTCCCACCGTATTTTTATAAATAAATACAAACATTTATCGATCTTTTATAAATAATTATCGTTTTTTAAACTAAAATAAAGTAATCATTCGTTCTAAAAATGTCCACAATGAAACATACATAGTTTTAACAGTGTGTAATTATTATACTTTTTAATTAACTAAGGGCAAATTGCATAAAAAAGTAACGTACTTTAACTTGATTCCTATTTTGGGTAACGTACTTTCAAAACTTCCATTTTGATACCTAAGATGTAAAGTTTTAAACATTTAAGTACCCGGGTAATTGGTTGAAATATTAACCGATTATCATGCTGATGTGGGGAGTGATGTGGTATTCAACTCGATATTATTTGCTGACGTGGTCAGTGACGTGGATTTTTTAAAATCTAAATTTTTTTATTTTTTTAATCTAAAATTAGTCTTTCCGGTTTACCCGGTTACTTAAATGTTTAAAAATTTACATCTTAGGTACCAAAATAAAAGTTTTGAAAGTACGTTACCCAAAATAGGAATCAAGTTAAAGTACGTTACTTTTTCATGCAATTTGCCCATTAACTAAATGACCCTTAATTTTAGGGGGATAAATTTTACCCGCCTCATAATTAATGGTAGAATGAGAAACTAGACATTTAATTTTGAAAATGAACATTTAGGTGACGTTTGTTTTTTAAGAGGTGTTGAAATTTGAAGTCGTATTTCACTTCTGATTTATAAAAGCTAATGCTGAAGTCTGAAATTTGAATCAATAAAACTGTTTGTTTTTTTTTTTAATTGATAAACGTCTGAATTTATTTAAGAAAATTATAGTATTGAATTTATATATAAAACTTATACAATTTCACATATTTATTCATCATCATTCCGAAGTTTACATCTAAATTATATAACTAACATTCATTTAAACGAAAAATAGTCATTAACAATATTTAACACTTTTAAATACTATTTAGATACATCAACTGAGAGAGGTAAGGATTGATTTGGTAATAATCGATTGAGAGAAATGATCAATTATGGTTAATACAAGTAGTTACTGAGAATAGTGATGGAGTATGGAGTTATGGACGAGTTATTAAGTGTCAGTGTTACGTGAATGAATTCAATCAAGTTTCATATATCTGTTCGTATTATAATTTAGCAACTGAAAATAAAATTACAGAAAATTTAAAAATCAAAATATGTCGATTATGTTTTATTATTGATTAAATTTTAATTAATAAATAATTAAAAATAAGTTGGTATGGTAATGTACTACCATGGTATACAACTTCTAATACCACGTATCAACTAAGTTTAGATAGTTGGTATGAGATTACTGGCTAATTATATTGGTACCAACAAAAATGATGTCAATTAAATTAGTATGGTTGGTAGGGGTGTTCATGGGTTGAGTTGATCGGGTGGAAGACATTTGAACAACTCAATCCAATGTTTGCGGTTTGGAAAATCTTAACCCAACTCAACCCAAAACAAAGTGCCACCCAACCCAACCCAAACTGTACGGGTTGATTGGGTTGATACTTTGGTACATTAAAATATTCTTATAACCTTGAATATATTATTTCTTTACTCATAATTTCTTTTTTCATCATCAATTATTTGATACAACTTATCCATACTTCTTACATGTATCACAATAAATTAATTTTCTCAATTTACATATATATGCTTACAGTTACTGAACATATATATAAATGAGTTATATAGAGATGTGAATAGATTGAAAATATGTGTATATGAAAAACGTACATGATAGTGTAATTGTCTAATGTTTATATTAATAGAAATTCAACAATCATATTAAATCCAATAAATAAAATAATACCGCGTTCATTGGATTGAATTGTGTTCAAATAATAGTAACCCAATACCTCCGGTTTGAAAATTTTTACAACTATTAGACATTGAATTGCTTCAAGTTAAATTATTTCGTGTTTGGTTGATCGGGTTGGTCGGGTTTTTGAGTACCTCTAATGGTTGGTATTGAAGTCGGTCGATTTTTCTTGGTACAAATTTTAACACCTCGACTTATTTTGGGATAGAGAGAGTATAAAATAAAACAAAATAATGAATTTATTAATATTAAAGTACAAAAGGGTAATTATGGAAAGTAATTTATAGTGGGGAGTTTGCCAAATTGGGATGACCAATTTGCAACAAGCATTTGCCATAAATAGACCCAATGGACTTACACCTCCACCTTCTCACACATACCATAAATAGACCCTGCATCATCAAGTTGTACCTTATGCAACAATTGGCATTTTCCTTCAAGTGTGGGTGGACCCCACCAGAAAAAGAACCAATCACAGGGGGTTCAAAAAAGTGATGTGTTCTTGTGCTGACACGTAGCAAAGTGGGACCAGATGAATTCATTAAAATGGATCACCAAAGTGTTAAGGTATCATTTCCCTTTCCTTCACCTTTTCCCTCTTTCACTTTCTCTTTTGATTTAATGCATTTCACCCCCAACCCCACCCCTCGCCTCCCCTCCCCTCCCCTCCTCTACCCCTACCCCTACCCTCCTCCATAATTATTATTCAAATTTTTTATTTTTATTTTATTCGAAGAATAATTATCTGATTCTGATTTTTGAAACGGAGTACGATCGATTGATTTTTGGTTTCGAAACCGGTTTTAAATGGTTAAACACAGTAACAACAGAGCAACGTGTTTTTATGTTTTTGTACACAAATGTATTTAAACAGTGTCGGTTGTGTTTTCGTATATACATTTGAAGTTACTGAAAGAAGTTCTCTACAAATCTTTAGATTTTCAATGGGTTTGAAATTTCATATTGTTTCGAAATTTACATAACGGTTTACCGTCACATTTCTATTTTAAGTTTATCTTAAAACAAGTGTAAACTGATAGTTATTCAGAGCATCTCCTACAGCTACGTGATTTTCGAAATATTGGAGATTTGAGATAACTTTGCTCCAACAATTATGTTAAATTCTGCTGTAAAATAGAGAAAAATAGGAGAGAGAAAGAATAAATATTAAACTTTGAAAGAAAATACAACATAAATGTCACTGACCACGTCAGGAAATAAAAATAAGTTGGATACCACATCACTTGCCATATCAGCATGATAACTAGTTAATGCTTCAACCGGTAATTATCCGGGTACTTAAATATTTAAAACTTTACATCTTAAATATAAAAATGAAAGTTTTAAAAATACGATACCTAAAATAGGTATCAAGTTAGAATACGTTATTTTTTCATACAATTTGTCCAATAATTTAATAACTTTGTATCAATATATTTACTATAGAAAAAAACTCGTGCACATTATAATAAATTTTTTGATAAACTACAAATTTAGTCCCTGTAATTTATCAAAAACAATACTTTTCGCCTCTACAGCTTCGGAATTACAAAATTACCATTAGTTGAGATGCATTTTCATCATTTTATTGATTTTTTTACCCAATAAAAATCGATTTCTATGATTGGATAAAATGACAAAATTAACCCTCGTTTTTTTTATTAACCTGGATATCCAACCCACTATGCGAGCCGACTAATCCCAAAGTAACCACCTGCTTTGCAGTCTTGCAGATAGCCCGATGTCAACACATTTAAACCTTTATGGCCACAAGAGGATTTTTAATCCTCCTTAGATTTGAACCTGAGACTTTCAGGTACTTTTGACCATTGGAGCCAAGTTCAAACCAACCAGACACCAACTTTGTGATTACCCTCGTTTTTTAACAACTATAAGATAGAAGGAACGTTGTTATAAACCACGATAACTATCTTATAATTTTTGAAACTATAAACAGAGAAGGGATTTTGAATATTTGGAAAAGAGTTTGACCATGAAAAGTCAAAGGTGTTTTGTTTAGGGTTATAAAAGAGAGAAGAGATGAGAGAGAAAGAGAGAGAGAGAGAGAGAAGAGAGAGAGAGAAATGGGAAAAGGAAGGTTAGAGCTGAAGAGAATAGAGAACAAGATAAACAGACAGGTTACGTTTGCAAAGAGACGAAATGGTCTTCTCAAGAAAGCTTACGAGCTTTCTGTTCTCTGTGATGCTGAAGTTGCTCTCATCATCTTCTCCACTCGTGGCAAGCTCTATGAGTTCTCCAGCACCTCCAGGTGATTTCGAAACCCTAATTTATCGATCGAATCATGCATCTGCACACATTCAAAACCCTAATTTATCGAATCATGCTTCTGCGCACATCCAAAACCCTAATTGGTTGAAGATTTCTGATTCGTATCGTCAATTTTTGTTGAAAAGCATGCTGAAAACACTCGAGAGATATGAGAAATGCAGTTTCGGGCCACCGGAACAACGAAAACCAGCTAAGGAGGATCTCCAGGTATGCTCCGCTGACTTTTTGCTCAAATCTGAGTCGTCTTCAACTTCAACAAAAACCTAATTACTCTTCCAAACTATACATAAACATTCATTGTTGCTTAACAAATGTTTACCTTATCGAATGAACATGACAAAGACCAATAATTTTACCTGGTAAGAACAAAGACAAGAACCGAGGTTCTTAACCGGTAGGATGTGGTGAGGACTTTTATCATGGTTAGCGCTTACCGGGTAAATTGTTGCATACGATGTTATTGGTAGACTAAATTTTTACCCGGTAAGTAAGCATAACTGTTAAAGATGCTCTCCAACAACTATGCTAAAATAGAAATAGTTAGAGAATTTGAGTACTTTAAATGTTATGTTATAATGTATGCTAAAATAAAGAAAAAAAAATAAAAAGACGTAAAAATCTTCAATTTTGAAGAAATTTCTGAAACAGCAGAACTAATATTTAATTCTTTCTCACCACTATGAGATATTGAAATTAAGTATTTAAGAGAGAGAAATAATATATTTATTGATAAGTAGTTGGATGTGATTTTAACTTTTGATAATCTGTTTTAGAAAAATTATAGCATAACTATTGAAGATGTTTCTTATAGATGTACCAAAAGTAATAGATCAAGTAGACGTATTGTTTTTAAATTAAATAAAACTTAAAAAGTTTATATTATATATAAAGTCTTCAAATTAAAACAATACATATATTTTAAAATAACAAATTGATTATGATATACTAAAAGGGTACTCGCGCAATGCAACGAGATACATTTCGATTTTAGTGTTTCATTTTTTTGTCTTAGTCGATGTTATAATACGGTTTTTTATGTGGTTTTGAGAAAACGAATAATGTTTTTATTTTTGAATAAAATATAAATATGAAAATATCATAAAAATAAAAAAATATTAATATTAGTACCAAACTAACGATTTAAAATTTCTCATTTTTTGTGTATTTCATTAATTCATTTTTTTATTTTTGGTATATAATATTTTTTTATAAAAATAATAATAAAATATTTTATTAAAATTCAATTATTATCCTAATTATATTTTAGTTTTTTTATATTTAAAATAAAATATTTATCCTTTATTTGATTATATTTATTTGAAGTTAATTATACGAATTCAAACATGAAGCTTTAATAAATTGTACTTACGCATAATTTACTTGTAATCTTGAATTTTAAGTAATATGCATCAATAAACAGTACTTCATGCATAAAAAATGGTTTTTAAGAATTTTTGATCAAATATTTTATAATATAATATAGATAATTCTCTTAAATAGAACAATTTTTCTAATTAACATTATTAAAAAAAAAAAAGATTTCAATCACTTATTCATAATCAACTTTCTCCATAAAGCCATTCTCAATAGCTATCAAAGCTAGTCAAAAGCCTAAATCTTATAATTGAGTTAAAACATATATAATAAGGCTGAAACATATTTAGGGTTGTTTACCACAATGATCAAAAATCTTACCCGATAAGAAGGAACATCAGCCGAGGTTCTTACCCATTAAGTGAAGGGAAAAACTCCTATCTAGTTAGCATTTACCGGGTAAGAGACACTTACAAACAATCTATTTTGATGACAAAAAATATTACCTGACAAGATAAGAGAGAGTGATGGCTTTTGTCCATAAACACTTATCCAATAAGTATCAGTAAACAGTCGCTCCAAAAAACCAGTTGAAATATAAAAAATTGATACGATTTGTTACAGAAGTTTCTTAAATCCATAGAGTTCTCTTCCACAAATCTATATGACGCCAACTCTTATTATAAAAGCCCTCAAGCTCTATGAAGTGAGGGTTGACAACATTTAATTTAGATATAAAAAAGATATGAAAAAGGGTAAGGAGAAATGGTGATGAAGGTTTAAGCAACTATTTCATGTAACTGTAACTGTAACTAAAAGGTTACTCGTTCAATGTAGTAAAATATATCTTGATTTTAATATTTTATTTATTCTGTCTTTGTAGATGTTTTAATACGGTATTGTGGTGTTGAGAAATGGATAATGTTTTTATTTTTGAATAAATATATCAATATTAATATCAAATTAACTATTTAAAAGTTCTTGTTTTTTGTATAATTTCTTTAATTCAATTTTGTATTATAATTTAATTTAGATTTAATAACAAAATAATTTATTTTTGATTTGATGGTATAATGTTTTATAAGGATAAATCATTAAGTATTATGTTAGAACTCAATGATTATCCTAATTATATTTTAGATTTTTTATATTTAAAATGCAATGTTTATCTTATATTTGATAAAGTTTATATGCAGCTAGTTACACGAATTCAAACATAAAGATTTAATAAGTTGTAATTACGTACAGTTTATTTGTAATCTTGAATTTTAGTAATATATGCATCAATAAACGATACTTCATGCATAAAAAAAAATAGTTTTTAAGAGTTTTTGTCAAATATTTTATAATATACTATAATGATACTCGCACAATGCACCGTAATACATCTCGATTTTAATGTTTTGTTTTGTTTTATTTTGTCTTCGTCGATATTATAATACTATTTTATGTGGTACTGAAAAAATGATAATGTTTTCATTTTTTGAATAAAATATAAATTTGAAGGTATAATATTTTTTTTAAATATACCGATTTTAGTATCAAATTAATTTTTTCATAGTTTTTGTTTTTTACGTAATTTTTTAATTCCATTTTTTTATTATAATTTAGATTTAATAATGAAGTTATTTATTCTTCGTTTAATTATATAGTTTGTTTTATAAAGATAATAATTAGTATTTTGTTTTAGTTCAATAATTGTCCTAAATATATTTTAAATTTTTAAATTTAAAATGGGATACGTTTTCAGTATTTGATTATGTTTATCTGCAGTTAGTTATATGAATTCAAACATGGAGCTTTAATAAGTTGTACATATGCATAATTTACGTGTAATCTTGAATTTTAAGTAATATGCATCAATAAACAGTATTGAATGCATAAAAAATTGTTTTAAAAGTTTTTGTCAAATGTTGTATAATATAGTACTAGAAGGGTACTCGTGCAATGCAGCTAGATACATCTTGATTTTAATACTTCATTTTATTCTTTATCTCAGTCGATGTTATAGTATGGTCTTATGCGATTTTGAAAAAACGATAATGTTTTTATTTTTGAATAAAATATAAATTTAAAGATATCATAAAAGTTTGACAAAAATATATCGATATTAGTATAAAATTAACTATTTAAAATTCCTATTTTTTATGTAATTTTTATAATTCAGTTTTTTTATTATATTTTTTTAGGTTTAATAATGAAGTAATTTATATTTGGTTTAATAATATAATTTTTTTATAAAGATAATAATTAATTATTTTGTTAGAACTCTTATATTTTATATTTTTTATATTTTAAAATAAGATGTTTATCCTCTAATTGGTTGTGTTTATCCGTTTATTAGTTATGCGAATTCAAACATGGAGCTTTAATAAGTTGTACATATGCACAATTTACTTGTAATTTTGAATTTTAAGTAATATGTATCAAAAAACAATATTTCATGCATAAAAATGGTTTTTAAGAGTTTTTATCAAATGCTTTATGATATAGTATAGCTATAGATATGTTATACTCGGTTGACTTTTTATTTCCAAAAGTCAAATTTGTTACTCTGCTTGACTCCCCCAAAGTCAACCTTTGATTACATTCGTAGTTTGATGAAATTGTTCGATTGTTATCTTTTATGTTTTACGTGTGATTAGGAACAAAGCAGCTACCAAGAATACATGAGGCTTAAAGAACGTTACGACGCCCTGAAACAACTCGAAAGGCAAGAACCCTACTCGCTATACGCACTCGTAATCGAATAAAAATCTCGTCCCCAAACTCCATGTCCTGTTGCATGTCTACCAATCACGTGAAAACACATCATCACAGAGAGAATGAAAACTTAACTTAAATAAAATAATTATATGTTTTAACGTGATTCGTGGGATAAGGAGAGACATGGGATTTCGTTACAGTTTGTATAACGGGTAAGGGTAAAACCCGTTACACGTTATGTTTCGATCGGTTGGATAAAGACATATTTAAAGAAAATTTTATCCATTACCCAACACTTTAGTGGATAGGAATGGATAAACGGTTTTTTGTTATCCATTTACCTACCCTACCTGTTCTAATTATCATACATGTCGTTTATTAATGTATAATTTAATTTTCTTTTTATATTTATCATGTTAAAAGGTTTATGATAATAAATGAGAAATAAGCCGGGTCAAGAAAATAAGTCCGGTTATCATGTTGATATGGCGAATGATGTGATATTCAACTCAGTATTGTTTGCTGACGTGGTTAGTGACATGAATTTTTTTTAATCTAAAAATAGTTTTCAACCGATTACCCGGTACTTAAATGTTTAAAATTTTACATCTTAGGTACCAAAATGGAAGTTTTGAAATTACATTAACCAAAATAGGAATCAAGTTAAATTATGTTATTTTTTCATGCAATTTGCCTTATTTAGAATAACGTTACAATGTTTGCTAAAACAAATTAAACATGAAATAATTACCATATTTGTAATCTTAAGTTTCACTTATATATTTGTAGTTTAAAATGGTTTTTTTTACGGTTTATCAATTACTCGTATAACAATATTATATTTAATAGTGTTATCCATTAGTTTAATGGATAAAGTATGGATATGGATAATTACCTGCTATTTTAAATGGTTTGAGTAACGGAAATAACCGTTACCCTGCCTTGTGGCCCATTTCTAATCCGTCGTGAACTCGGTTTTTCACTGCTGTAACTTTCAGGAATTACTATGGCGAGGAGATCGACTCGTTGACAACCAACGAGCTCGAGTCGCTTGAAAGGCAGCTTCATTGTTCATTGAAACAGATTAGAACAATAAGGGTACATTTACATGCTTATAATTCATTCTCAAATGCTATAAACTATAAGTTGACTATTGTAAGTCAACACCTTTGACTTTTTATGAAATCAATATAAACCCATTCATGGATACGACTCGTATTTCTTTATCTAACAAGTATCGTAAAAATGTTACCTTTTTGTGTTCGTAATTGGCTATGTATGATCTTCTTGTCACAGACTCAATCGCTGCTCGATAAGCTCTATGAACAACAGAAGATGGTACGAGTTAAGGTTTTGGATTTTGAGTTCTCCGCTAATTGTATTTGTGTGTGGAACGGTTTTAAATTTATGTTTGTTTTTCAGGAACACCAACTTTACGAGTCCAACAAGACTCTTCGACTCAGAGTAAGCATATATGCTTTTATCTTTTGTTTCTATTGGAGTCCCATATCAGCTAGACTTGAAATATTTATCCTTGGACCTTAGTATATGTTGGAACTTGGAACCTCTATTCTCTTATCAATGGCTATTTTTGAAGAATAATTTGATGGGATTCCACATATTCTCACATGATATCAGAGCAAAAGTCTATCACCCTAGGGATTTGAGTATGGTACTCTGGACAATCTGTATTTGTCGAGCCTCCATTCGAGGGGGAGTGTGAGTCCATTGAGACTAAGAGTCTGTTTTTTTCCTCTTTTTTTGGAAGAGTGTCTCAGACTATGCTTAAACTAATCCCGGCAAAATTGAGACGGCAAGAGATCACCTTTGATAAACTCAGTGGCCATAATTGTTGTGTACGCCTAGAATTGAACCCTGGACAGATGGAATTCCGTCGCTAAGGACGTGTTTGTTAGCAGCTTAATAGGCTTAATGGGACTTAGAGCTTATTCGGTCAACTATAGATGACTGTTTGATAGTGGCTTAATGATATAGAAGCTAGCTTATTCAATAAGCTTCTAGGAGAGACTTTATGTAGAAAGCATATTCACAATTAAAAAACACGCCCCTTCCATCTATGAAAAACCACTTCAAAACAAAAATCTTCTCAATCTATACAAACATATTAATCCACACAGACAGCTTTATCCACACAAGACTTAATAGAAAACCAACCAAACTAACCCCAGACAACTTCTCCTTCATATATGTTGGAACCTTCATTTTCACCTTTAGGGCTATTCTGGAGATTAAATCTAACAGGGTTCCACATATTCTAACAGTTTCTAGCTTCTTTATCAAATGACTCACAGTTAGACGAAGAAAGCCAAGCGGAGGCGCTCCAATGGGACGCACACGCGAATGGAATGGTTTATGGACATCCGCACCAAATGTCCCGTGACGCTTTCTATCACCCCATTGGCTGCGAAACCACTTTGCAAATCGGGTAAGAAATTAAACCCGCATTTATAAGATTGATCCGAAAAAGAATCAAGATTTTTATGCAAAATTCTAATGAAAGTCTTTTAGGTACCAAACTGAACAAATGTCAGCAGTGACTTCTACCAGCATGAACCATCAGATGCAGGGTTGGCTTGCATGAAACAACAGCATTCAATCTTTGGTTACTAAATCTGATTTAATGTGGGGCCCCTCAGAAACATTTGTTTTTAGCTTCAATTAATATGTTTATGTTTCATTGTAAGTTTTATCAATCTTGACCGAATCTAAATTCAAGCAACTCCAAATGTATCTGTTGCCTGATGGATTTTTTGGAACACATCTAACCCACGAATGTTGACGGTGCGTAAAAACTCCTCCTAAATAAAAGCATTTTCAATCCATACAGACGCCTTAATTCGTATAGAATTTAATGGAAAACCAACCAAACAAACAATCTCTTGGGACTGTTTGACAGTTGCTGAATGATTTGGTGCAGAATGATTAAAAGACTCTTATGATATAGTGCAAAATAAAATATAATTGTTAGGTTATTGTTTATAATGAAATTAGGGTGCTAAATGGTTAAGGGAGACTAATGATACAAAATCATTCAAAAGGTTTTAGAATCATTAAGAAACAGATTTTTTTTACCAAACAAGATTCAACTCATGACGATTTAGAGACAGTCTTTTAATGGAACTATTAAGAGGTAAACAAATAACCCCGAACAGAGAATGCCGAACCACACAAGTTGGTGATGGAGAAACGCTGTTCGAACCATCCCAGTGGGTTAAATCCAAAATGATATCTAGAAGTGAAGATTCTACAAAGATAAAGGGTTATACATTGCAATTAAACCAAAGAAGAAGGGGGATAAATGTAAATATAATGGAAAGTACTAGCCGGCGTATACATGAACGCCGATGGTGATGAGGAAGATGGTAAGGATGCCGAAAAAGATAACGGCGTGAACGATGACGGCGGTGCCGCTGGTTCTCATGCTGCCGAACTCCACCACCTTGTTGTGACCCGGTAACTGGAACAGTAATCCCGGCGTTAACAGCACAAACAACACCACCGCAACCAGAACTGGTCCCCAATCCGCCATTTTTGCCGGTGATCTTGAGCTTGAGGATGAAAGAAATGCTTTTGGGTTCTGAAACTGTAGGGTTTGTGAGGGTTGTTGATTTGTGGGTGAAAGTGAAAGGTTAACGATGGTGAATTCGAGGAGACATGGGGAGGTGGGTTTAATTTGTGCGAATTCTGGCAAGTTTTCACGTGCGATGCCTCTGGTGGTGTGTGACCCTCGAGCCAAGAAGTGATGAACGTGCATCAAAGGGAACTCAGCCCAAAATTGGCACGTAAAAAATGGTTGTAGGCTAGAGCCTAGAGATCGTTCTTCGCAAGCTTGAAAACCAAGCATCCAGTTTGATTACCTTTTAATCTAATCAACGTTGGACTCAGATTTTTTTTTTTTCAAACAATAATACCGTTTGACTATAAGAAAATAATTTCAAACGATGATACCGTTTCACTGTAAAAAACAAATGTACAAAACTTTTTCAAACATTGAGACCATTTGACTAAGAAAATGACACTAACAAGATTTGAACTTGAGTTTGGGGTGGAATAAAAGCCTTACAAACCAATTCTACCAAATAAAACTTGCTCTCATTATAGTTTCAAAATACATATGGTAGCACATAACAAATTAATACGGTAGCACCTTTCACGAAACTAATTTTTTTATACTTCAACGGATGAATAATACGATGGCACACTATAGGTCCGTCCCTGTTTCCAACACATTTTTTTAATATTTATTTTCAAAGTTTTTTTTATTGGTGGAACATATTAAACAAGATTTCACTCTACCTTGTAATCATTTTTGAGGTGTTCTACAAATTTGAAGATTCTTATACTCCCATTCCTATTTTTCTCCATTGAAACAAAAAACATGTTCCAAATTCCCAAAATCTCTATTTTCTCCGTGTTGGAAAATCTATTGAAGATGGAGAAAATAAAGATTTCGGGAGACTTTGAACATGACAGAAAACTCTTCCAAAATGTATTTTCTCCCAAAGTTTGTACGTGATTGTTCACGCTGTTATCATGTGTTCATGAAAAACATTTTCAAACAAAATCCTTCTCAAACTACATTGATAGAATAATCCATATAAACATTTTTATTTATACATGACTTAATGAAAAACCAACCAAACGACCCTTAGTTATCTTATAATATTATAATTATTTATTTTTCTTATAACGTAGCTTGAGCATGTAGATTTGAACTTGCCACTCTCAACTTAAGTTTGACTAATAGAAAATAAAATCAAATTGCGTTGTCATGCGTTCTCGTGCCCCTCACGTGATTTATGAAATACAAGGAAAGTAGAGGATAAATTTGAATATGATTTTACTTATAACTGGCCTCATTTATAATATTAAAAGTTAACTGAATCAAGAGAAAGAAACTCCAAAACCAAATGTTTAGCGTTTATATTATTTTAAGTAGTTTCTACACAACCAATTATAAACGAAAAAATTGTGTGAGAATAGAAATCAAGATGAGAAGTGTAGTAAGAAATTTCAATTTACTTTTTAATCTCAAATCCAGTTATGAATTATGTTTTAAAAGGGAATTAATCTGATAGATCTCATTAGTGTTGATCTAATGAAACTCTTCAATTATAACTGATTCAATGATGGAACTTTCTTTTTATCTTTTTCATCATAACTTTCATTCTTACTCGAACTTAATTCACCAGTTATAAACACTATCGTTATGGATTAAATAAATAGAGTTATCCTCTTTCTCTTATAATTTCGTAGCTGATACGTGAGTCTTTACCTCATAATGGTTCTCTGATATGTTGAAGGTAAGGAATCTTGGAAAATAAACTTACAAGACAAATCATTATAAACATAAATATACCTGCTTTAATTTTGGTACAATTCGTTTATGATTGGCTATGTTTGTTAGCAGCTTAATGGGACTCACGACTTATCTGATTAGCTATACATGACTGTTTTGGTAATGAATTAATGATATAAAAATAGCTTATTCGGTTAGTTTCTAGAGGAAATGTTTATACATAAAGTCAAGTTTTTTTCCTAAACATATATTTTCCAATTAAAAAACGCGATTCTTCAATCTACAAATAAACTCTTTTAAACAAAAACCTTCTTCATCACCACAAACACCCTAAATGTTGTTCACCTCAATTCAATCGTCAAACGTAGATTCAATTGCTAAAAGGTATAATAATATATTTTTGTTATAATAAATCATACAGTAATATAAATATTTATGATGTTTGTTTACTCGAGTGGTAATTCCTTTTTCTCAAAATAAATGTATAGAATGGAAAAACACACACACACAAAATTTTAAGAATGAGTAATTATTACACTTTTAATTAACAAAATTATCGTTTTACTCTTAATTGTAAAGAGAATTATTCTCCATCTCATAATTAAGGCTAAAATGAGAAAGTGAACATTTACTTTTGAAAGTTGACACTTACATTGTCTTCTCGAGTTTGGGGAGAAAAGAAACAGATGGAAAAGTAACGAAAAGAAAAAACAATTTTTTGTTTGTATTCTTGGAAGTAAAGGAAGACGAAAGAAAGAAAAATAAAGAAAATAATTTTTCATGTTCTTTTACAGGAGAGAAAAGAAAGGAAAAAATGTCTTTTATTTTTTACAAATATACCATTTGAAAATATGTTCTTTATATGAAAGGTTGAGTAGTTTTGTAATTTTAATATATTTTTAAAGAGTTTTAATTTCTTTACTTCCCTTTCCTCTCATATCTGGAAGAAAAATTTTGAGAGGAAACTTATGATTTATTTTCTAAAAAAGTTTCGATAAAGTTATTTAAAACAAACTAAAATAATAATGTAGCCATAAATTTTGGGACCTTATTACACCTAAAAAACTTTTGATTATATTGCAAAATGATACACACACACACACACACACTCTCGGGATCACGTGAGACCAACATGTTTTCGTGAGACCCGTAAGACTACTTTTTTACACTTGAAACGTTGTGAATATAACCTTCATAGTGTTTTTAATATGAAAGTTCGACTTTTTTTTTCCTTTCACAGCGCTTTGCTGTGAAATTTTAAGTGTAAAAAAATAGTTTTACGGGTCTCACGAAAATAGGCTCGTCTCACATGAATCCAACTCTATATGTATGTATATATATATATATATAAATCACAAAGGTGACGACGAGACTATTACTTTTGCCTCTTGATAGAAATTAGAAAGGCAAATAAAATAAACTATCGTTTTACTTTTATTTTTGAAATGTCTTAAACAATATAAAAGTTCACCCAACACATTTAAGAAGTAGTAAATAAATAGAAAGAAAGAAAGAAAATGGGAAAAACCCAAAATAAAAATTCAAGGAAAATGACTCTCGTTTTATTGTTATTTTTCTAGAGATAAAAAAAAAAACTCCTCATTTCCTCCTCTGAAATTGGAACAAAAAGATGTGCACAGAATTCTTCTTGATGAGGAAATTGAATCGGTTCCTCTAAATCTTGTTTACATGTGATTGTTGCCAATTTAACAGGGTAATTGATGTTCATCTTTTTGATTGTGGTCGTAATCTCGTTGTGTGATTTTGTTTGTTTTTTCTGATTAAGATTTGATATGATATGTAGGGATAAAAAAAAGGTGAGAGATTTTGGATTGATACCTGGTGAAGATGACGACCAGTCATGCAGGTTCTTCTTCACGAAGAAGCATGGCGTTAACAACTTCGTCTTCCCAGAAGAAGAGACTTTCTCAAAATGGAACAACACCTGATCGCAGATCATCCCTTACTGCTTCCCGTTCCATGTTTGTTTCTTCTTTCATCTTCTTATTTCACTTCTTAATCTACATGCATACCAACCAACCAACGGTTGATTGAGCATTATAAATTCAAAACACCCTTTAATCAACTTTAACTCACGGTGAGGGGCCGTTTACCAATCGCTTATTACGATCATCCTGGTAAGAGGTATTGCAACGACCGAGAATCCTACCCGTTAAGTTTTTAAATGGACCGGTTAAGAGAGGCTTACCAACAATAATTCATTTAAATGGCCAAGAATTTTACTCGATAAGGTAAATGAGGGTGGTGAGTCTTGCAAGTAAGCACTTGCCCAGTAAGCATTTGGTAAACGTCCCCTTAGACTTCAATTGTAGTATCCACAATCGTTAACTACGACGCTAAGCATAATCATACCTCATTTGGAACTTGCGGCCAGGAGATTGATTGTTTTCGGTTATTTGAGTTACCATCGGAAGGTTTTTGAGGCACAGTTTGATGTGCTTGTATCAAATCCTGTAGACTATCATTTGTTAGATGATTAATTGATCATAATTGATCTTAAAAACATTAGATTGAGCAGGTTGCGTTATGAAAACAAATACTCCATTCGTCCCAAAATAAGTGTCCATATTTCTTTTTAAGTTTATTTCAAAATAATTGTAAGTTATCACATTGAAAAGTAAGTGCTTACTATTTAATTCTATTCTTAATTATGACATGGAGAAATTCATTATTCCTCTATCATCAAGGGTAAAATTGTCGGTTAGTTGATTAAAGGATTTGTAGTTATTACGTATTCTAAAACTGTGCTTTTTCATTCTGGACATTTATTTTGGGACGGAAGATGTATCACATTTAAGTTTGAATACCTGAATGGCATGTATCTGTATAGGGGACTAACAGGGGAACGTACAGTGAAGCGACTACGTCTATCAAAGGCCTTGACAGTACCCGACACCACTAGCATCTATGAAGCATGCCGTCGAATGGCTGCTCGAAGAGTTGATGCTCTTTTGCTTACTGATTCAAGATCTTTACTTTGTGGGATATTGACAGATAAGGTTACATTTTCTTGAATTTTCACATATAGATGAAATTGCACACTAAATCTTAGCTTATCAGGGGGGGGGTCACTTTCACACACTTTTCAGGAGATATGAGGTCTACTTACATCTTAGCCACCCCACCCCCGGTGGGACCCTACCTCCAGGTGGGATGTATACTAGGCTCATTTGGTTTAGTTTAGATGAGACCTCACATGAAATGTGTTCATTTGGGTTATTACTTTTTACGAAGTATACGTTTGTGATGATTGAAGGATATAGCGACAAGAGTTATTGCTCGTGAGATTGATTTCGAGAACACACCTGTGTCGAAGGTGATGACAAGAAACCCGGTTTTTGTACTTTCTGATACTCTTGCTGTGGAAGCACTGCAAAAGATGGTCCAAGGTTAGTATCGATCATGACAAACATGGTGGTACTTGCAAAACACTTTGCTAATCTAACATGTTGAAGTCCCATATTGGTTAGACTTGCACCATTTCTCCTCAATATATGTTGGAACCTCCACTCCTTCAAAGGCTCTTTTGGAGGGTAATCTAATGGGGTTCAACATTTTACATGATATTAGAGCCAAAGTCTTTCAGTTCACTGACTCAACACTCTGGGGTAATTTGTACCTATCTAGCCCCCTCACCCGTCTAGCCCCCTCTCGACACTCTGGGATAATTTGTGGCCGTCTAGCCTCTGTTAGAGGGGGCTTGGAGCCCTACATCGGCTAAATTTTGACCATTTCTGCTCGATATAAGTTGAAACCTCTATTCTCTCCTAAAGGGCTGTTTTGAAAGGGTAGCTGATGGAGTTCCACATATTACATGATATCGGAGTCAAACTCTACGATTCTAGGGACTCGACACAAGAGGGAAATTTGTACCCATCTAGTCCCCTCTCGACATTCTCCATGCCCGTCTAGCCTACGTTGGAGGGGGTGTGTTGGAGTCCAAAATCATCTAGATTTGGATTATATCTCGTCTGTATACGTTGAATTCTCTTCTTTTAAGGGATCTTTGGAAAGTAATCCGATAGGGTTCCACATATTCTCTCGTAACAAATCAAAATGTTCAAAACTGCAGGAAAATTCAGACACTTGCCTGTTGTAGAACATGGAGAAGTTATTGCTTTGCTTGACATAGAGAAATGTTTATATGATGCGATTGCACGTATGGAACGGGCAGCTGAAAAGGGGAAAGCCATAGCAGCTGCTGTTGAGGGTGTTGAGAAGCACTGGGGATCTTCTGTTTCAGGTTGGTTCCAATTTGTTGCTCCTTTTTGCTTATGAACTTCAAAGATTTCTGAAATTTTAACCAAATGAGAATAATAATACAGGTTCCAACACATTTGTGGAGTCACTTCGTGAGCGAATGTTCATGCCTTCTTTGTCTACCATAATTTCCGAGAATCCAAAGTAGGTAATAGCTTTTCTTGATATGGAAATATATTGATGATTTCCACAAAATAATACTAGTTACTTTATTCATCAAATTGAGCATCATCTACCAGGATTGTCACAGTTTCACCATCTGACACAGTGGTAACGGCAACAAAAAAGATGCTAGAGTGTCGAATGAGCTCTGCTGTTGCAACTGTCGATAACAAGCCAGTTGGGATTTTAACGTGAGGTTCTCCTGATTATACTCCCCCAGTCCCAAAAATAGATGTTCACATTTCTTATTTTAGTTTATCACAAATTAAGTGTCCAATTTCCAATTCTACCTTAAACATGAGATGGAGAAATTCATTACTAGTTACTCCCTCTATTATTAAGGGTAAAATTGTCATTTAGTTAATTAAATGTGATAATTACATTTTCCCAGAACTGCGTGCGTTTGGGATGGAGGATGTAAAGAAATTATGAATTTAGAAGGAATCAAGTGATTCTTAACAAACATACGATAACATTATGCTATTAACATGCTATTTCTACTGATATTAGATCAAAGGATATCTTAATGAGAGTGATAGCACAGGATCTTCGGCCTGAATTAATCTTAGTTGAGAAGGTAATTACCTTATTTGTTCCTGTATCATCGTGTGTGTGCTATAGGTGGTGTCATCATAATATTTCCAAACCTGATTTTCTGGGCATGCTTCTTTGATCATGTAGGTGATGACTCCGAATCCAGAATGTGCTACACTTGATACACCTATTGTCAATGCCCTGCATAATATGCATGATGGAAAGTATTTACATCTTCCCGTTGTTGATAGAGGTACACATAAGATCATATCTATATACACACACAGTTCCTACTGGTTAAGCATATAAAATTCATCCAGACCCTGATTAATATTATGTTAATTTGTGTTCAGTTTCACTCTTAGCCTGCCCAACTAGTTTAGGATAAAAGTTTGTCAATCTTATACATATCTAAAACTAGCAGATGGTTTGATGCAGAGGGATATGTTGTTGCCATCGTTGATGTACTTCACATAACTCATGCTGCAGTAGCCACAGTAAGTATACTGGTCTCTCATTTGTGGCCTACATATGCTCATAGGGTTAATTGTCATCAGTTATGGGAAACAATATCTTAAATCCTGGCCTTCGACGAAACAAATTCATGTGAAACAATACAGCAATATTGGTTCTCATGTCATGGGTTCTCAATCTTTTTGTGGTTCTCACATGGTTAGCCCCCTATATGTGTGTGTATACTCGTGCGTGTGTGTATAGACGCTCATTCTCAAAATTGTTCGATTCTTCTACTTCTTTGAAGCTGATATAGTGTTGGCATGAATTAGGTTGGAAATACGGCAGGCATAGATAATGAAGCTGCAAGTTCAATGATGCAAAAGTTTTGGGACTCTGCTATGGCAATAACTCCTGCAGATGATGAAGACGACCTTAGGAGGTTATTGACTGTGCTGTATTACATTACTGAGACTTCAATTTACTGTTGGTTAAGCTAAATAGAACTGGTGCTGATGCAGTGAGAGTTCCTTGAGATTGGTTTCTGAAGGGGCTGAAACAGGAAAAACTCTTCCTTATTCTTCATCCACACAACCTAATACATTTGCTTTCAAGATCCAAGATAGAAGGGGTCGGATGCATCGGTTTATTTGTGGTATGCCTTCTATTCTGTTTCCAGCAATCATTCAGCCATAACCATGATTCAGTTCGAGTTGTATCTAGCTTGCTTTCATGTTATAGGACTTGTGTTCTGAAGTTATATAATCTTTGATTTAACTGCTTCTTGTCCTTGAGCTTAGATACTCGAAGTTTGGCAGATCTTACAACTGCAATAGTTCATAGAGTAGGGGTTGAGATTGACCGCAGCAACCTCCCACAGATTCTGGTATCTTTTTTTAATATATAATGTTTATATACGGCAAATACTCATGTCATTCCTAGCCTATGGTGAGGTTTGAACCCTTGTCCTCCTGAGAGGCTGGGCTCTACCGCTAACCCGGGTACCACTGGGCCAATGACCCTTTGGTAGATTCTGGTATCTTTGATGACTTATTTGAGGTCAAAGTATTCATCATTCTTCATGTTAATGTTCTATGCTTACCAACAATCCCATATTGTAGTACGAAGATGAAGATCACGACAAGGTCATACTGGCAACAGATAGTGATCTTGCTGCGGCTGTGGAACACGCAAGATTATCTGGGTGGAAGGTATGTGCAACATCCAGCATGAAACTATAGGAGACAAAAATGTGAAAATTCTAAAAAAGTATTAACCACATAACGTTCCCATGTGCGTTTTGATACGCTGACAGGACATGACTTGACAAAAAACTTCTTGTTCCCATGTTTGGTGCTGGGACAGGACAAAACTTAGCGGAACAAAAACGCATTTTTCGTCCCACCAAAAATAGGTCGAATAGGAAGATGAGACAAGATTGGTAAATTACTAAGCTACCCATGCCAGTTTAAAACCCTAATTCTTTCCTCCGCCTACCTCACTCTCGCTTTTTCAGTGTACAGTCCCATCAGCGGACCAAACACACCCGTAATGACATTTAGCGGTTATGAGTGAGGTCTGATATGCTGTTGATGGTGGACATATACAGGGCATAAAATTGCATCTAGATTATTCTGGGATCCCTAAACGTCGAAAAGGCTCCTCCACAGCAGGTAGCCTTGAGTTTGCTCAACGAGATGCTTGGACCACTGCATACAGTACAGTTGCAGCAGGAGCTGCCCTAGTAGCTGGTTTAGGCATGGTAGCTTTCTTGAGAAGAGCTGGTTAACTGAAATTAGTTTCGAGTGTACTCTTACACTTTTCTCGAAGCTTATTCGTCATCGTTGCTAACGTTTGAGGCCAAGATGCTCCAATCGGTAAAAGGAAGAAGGAATCGGTTGGAGGGGGCGGGTTTTGCTAATTGTTTGTCCTGTGAATGTAAAAATATCCAAAAAACAAAATAGGAAATCTCACTGTTTGAGCTCTATATTCATTATGAATACGAGTACGGATCGTATTAATGTGTTGTATGATCATCGGCCATGCCATTTTGGGTTTCCACTTGATGCATACTCTTTGGCAGAAGGTATAATATTTAAAATTCATATTCTATTGGTGATTTACTGCACCGAACCAGTAGCTTCTAAATCTATGTATACTCTTCCAGATCAGATTACAGTTCAGACATTCATCTGCTGATGATTGATGAAGAACACAAGCAATCATCAAAAGTCAGTTATTCATCAAGTTTCTCTTCAAATACTGTAACTGTAAGCAAAATTGCACTCCCAAAAAAAAGAACAGAATAGTTTCAATGTTATCAAAACAGATAAATTTACAAAATCTGCATTGAATTACCAATAGTGATTATAAACGGATCAAAAACATGAACAGAAGAATCGGAATGACATTGTGACAAATAGGACTCAGAAACCTGCACCTTACTCGAACTTTAAATAGCGATTAGATGGCGGAAGCTGATGGTTAATGAAGAACACAAGTAATCATCCAAATTCAGTCATTCATCAAGTTTCTCTTCGAAGACCATAACTGTAAGCAAAACAGCACTATGAAAAAACAAGAACAGAAGAGTTTCAATGTTATCGAAATAGATAAACATACAAAATCTGCACCTAGCTCGAATAACGAATACTGACTATAACGGATCAAAAAGAAGTACAGAAGAATCGCAATGGCATTGAAACAGATAGGACTCAAAAACCTGCACCTTACTCGAATGCTCAATAGCGATTAGAACGAATCAAATAGCTCCATCGTCCATCTGGAAGTGAAGAGCGGAAGCTGATGATTGATGAAGAACACAAGCAATCATCCAAATTCAGTCATTCGCTAACTTTCACTTCGAAGACTGTAAACTGTTAAGCACAAGAACAGAATAATTTCGAAGTTGTCAAAACAGATGAAACATACAAAATCTGCACCTACCTTGATTTACGAATAGCGATTATAATGAATCAAAAAGAAGCACAAAAGAATCGCAATAACATTGAAACAGACAGGACTCAAAAACCACCTACCGTATTTGATTTGCGAGCATTAGGTGAACAAGAACCGGTGGAAATCACAGAATCCACAATTCATCGTCCAATTGTAATCATGATTTCTGCATCGAGGCATGATTCAAAACCCCAAAACCAAAAGAAGTAAACGTCGACAGCAGGGTTCGAACCTGCGCGGGCGAAGCCCAACAGATTTCAAGTCTGTCTCCTTAACCACTCGGACATATCGACTTTTTTGTTTCTGTATCCACTAATAGAAATATAAAGATATATGTTTTTGTAAAATTGTTGATGAAGATCCAGAGTTTTCAAAGAAACCGTGGACTGCTTAAATCGGTAGAATCAAATCAAATCGGACTTTTTTTTTATGGTTTGATCTGGTTTGGAAAATAGAGAATCCAAGGGGTCTGGTACAGTCTGCGGCCTGGAACTATTTTTGGGCAGTTTGAACCAAACCGACCGCTAAATACATATAATATATAAGCTCAACTTTTTTAACTTATGGGCTATAAACCAAATATATCCCTAAACCCAGCATAAATCCTAGCATCTAACATAATCAAAACCAAATAAAAAATGACGTCTAAAAATCCCTAAACCAGTAAACATATCGACACATTTGACATTGACGGTCTCCAAATTTTGAAATCCATCAATGACTCTATCAATATATAAATCTTTCTTAATCCATGGTATGTTTTCGGCACACATTATCAAGACATCAACCAAGTGATTCAACTCTTTCCTTCAAGTTTTTCGATTCCAAACTCAATCTGTTCAAGTCCATTAAAGGCCCAAACCGCCTAAACCGGTCAGAGCAGACCACCTTTTTGTGGTCTGGTTTGACCGCTCTGCACACTTGATGTCAAACTGTTCGGTTTGAAAATTTTATAAACCGCCATTACCGTTTAGTTTATGATCAGAGGGGTTAGCCCGTTCAAACCAGAGCACGAACACCCCTAATGAAAATAAGAACACAATCAAAATATCATATTTTCAATTATCTTCAATTATAACTAAGAAGAAAATTTAAAAATAGAGTATATTACGTCGTGCGGTTTGTTCTCTTACATAACTTAATTCTTTTCTTAATAGACTTCTGAAGGTACATTTGACATTACATGGTTTGCATTTCAATATAGTTATCGTCCTTGGTTCCAACCGGTTTTGAATTACCCCTAAGTGTTTGTGTGGTAGTCGTCATGGAAGGATCTACAGTAGTGCCAACGGTGGCACGTGCCACCGTATTATTTCTCCGCGAAGGGTAAAAAATTTAGGTTTTTGAAATGTGGGACCATATTAATTTGTTGTGTGTCATCGTACTATAGTTTTTTTCATAATCAACCATTTGATACAACTTATTCATACTTCTTACGTATATGACATTCGGTTAATAATTAAATTAAAAGTTTTATTTAAATTATTTGATACATTTTTATTATATGTTAAACAAAATAAATATAACTCTAAAGTTTATGTTACATAAACGTTATTAAAATTGTTTATATTTACGTTTTGAAAACTAAATGTATTTAAAAATAACTAGAAAATAATAACATAAAAATAGTTGATATAATTAATAAGTATTGTAAATAATTAATAAATAATGTTCCATTAATGAATAATGTGTAATAAAACTAATTAATAACTAATTTTCAATTTATATTAATTAATATTAGTAATATTTAAATTTTATTAATATTTATTTATAATTAATAGTAATAAATAATAATAATATTAATGAGAGTGATAATTGAAAAAAGTGACAATAAGCTACTAAAACGCTATTCAAAGTAGCGTTTCAATAAGCTAACTTACGTGCATCCAAACGTGTACCTAGAAAACTAGCTGACTTATTTTTATCAAACAATACTTAAACCATAATGGCGGAAATCGTAATTTTTAACAAATCACTTGGACAAAAAAATGTAATTTACTCTAAAAAGATTAAAAAATAATTATTTAATTTTGAAAACAAAATTTATTTTTGAAAAAACTAAAATGGAGATGCTCTTTCTTGAACCTCCACCTATATATATATATATATATAT